CATCGTCTGGAGGACGTCCGTCTGAGTTGTCTGGCTGCTGGGAAACGGTGTCTGACCAGTGGACGCGGCGGCGCCTGTCTGTGGCACCTCTGGTTCTGGCTCCGTCACGTAGCCGCCCTTCACCTTCAAGACCATGCGGTTGGCCCACGGTGGCGGCCGGATCACTGGTTCCGACACATCGGTGGCCCGAAGCAGCCACTTGGCAAGTCGCTTCAGGCGGATGTTGGTCTCGTCCGTCTCGCGGTGGGTCTGTTTGACCCACTCCACGTACTGCGGATAGTCCCTGACCAGGTCGGCATAGGTGAGACTTGCATGGCGACCAAAACCCACAACATCCAAACTTGTGCTTTGAACAGTGTTGTAGAGGTGGTCCATCGCCCGCTTCTCCATCTGTGCCACTGTCTCGTTGCCCGAGACCGATAGATTGAGAACCTTCTCCATGTACTCGACGAGGTCCGCCTTCTTTTTGCTGTTCTTGTTCAGCTGTTTGATCTGCTGCTGCAATGGCGTCGCTCTCTTTGATCCCGGTGGCAAGGCCCACTGGGTCTCCTGGTCGTCCATCAACTCGCGTAGACGATGACGTAGCTCCGCCATGTTCCAGCTCTCGGCCGGGATCTCCCCGAAGGTAGCGATTGCCGCCCGCAGGTGGGTCTTTGACATCTTGTCCATCGCGTCCACGAGGAGTTGCCGAGGAGGGGCTGGCGTCGATGAGGGATTCCCTTGGAACACGACTTTGCTGCGTGAGTGCATCTCCATGATCTTGAAGTGTCTCAGGCATCCGTGTCCCTAGAGAACTGCTCACTGATGACTTCTGGTCTGCTGTTGGTACTACTGCTTTGGAAATGGGAAAAATCTCACTACCCTGAACCCCAACGCCAAACACACCTTCACCTTCGCCTTCTAGGGGAGGTGCTACAGGCACTTTGGCTATGCTACCCTTTCCGGAAAAAACTCGGTCCCCTTGTTTACCTTCCGGTACGGTCCACAAGGGGTCATGTCCCTACTCCTCGGCCATCAAGAAGGAGGAGAGCGAGGGAACTGCGACCTTTGTCGCCTGCGCTTCACGGAAAAGATCTTCTGTGAGGTTCATGAGCTGATGTCCGGTAG